CGCTGAAGACGCGAAATTTCACGAGCGGATGGATATTTTGGGTCGATGAGCAGGCATCTGCCTCCAGAGGGTTGATGCCAAAATACGACCTGGGCACCAGGCTGGTGAGATTTCGAATGCGAATCCATGGCTCACTCCACAGGGCCAGAATTTTTATGCGCCAAGATTTCGCGGGCTGCTTTTCAAAAAATGAGACGTGTCGTAGCATTTTACGCGGAAACAAATTTGAAAGTTTAGAATACGAACTGCCAAAAGCAATGTGAAAAACACCATAAAGCTGGAGTTTCACCTGTAAAATCCAAATAATAAAATTAAGATCCTCCTGTCATACGCCCGTTATCTGAGCCCCGCTTCCGCCCGGCGCCGGTGGCCAATGCCTTGGCCCGGCTGTCCCCAGCATGACTGGCTGCGAACTGATCTCATGACTGCTTTGCTGCTTGTTTATGGACCAGCATCACCAATTGTTGGTGTGTAAAACAGACATTGTACGTCCGCTGCAGAATCTATTTTCGAATTATCTTTCCTTACGCCATGCCACAGCAGAAAAAAAACTTTCGGAAAGCTGCCTGCCGGAATTGGTCTACCAGGCATTCATTTACCCCTCAATGTAGCCGGCCTGATTTGCTTTTGACACAGGCCTGCTGATGGTGTCCCCAAAAAGGAAAAGCGCCGGGTATAGCTCAATCGCTAACGCGCACGCGGTGCTCTTTTCTTTGTCTATATTTTTCCCTTGTGACCAGAACAGAACGGAAACTAGAAGCTACCGCGAGATAAATTCTGTGTGAATTTCAAGCCAATGTATTGAAGAAACAAATACAATGCATGGATTAAATCACCGGCGCTCTCCATTTTGCAATGGTTCAGTGGACATTTTCTAAATCGATACAACTGAGAAGCCCTGCCATATTTTTTGTTCTTTTGACATACACACACACACACACATATATATATATATATATATATATATATATATATATATATATATATATACACGAACGGGGTCTAAAATTTGTGCTGACATGGCTAACCAATTTTGGTCTTGAAATGGTCAACATTCAGTCAGAATTTATTACCGAGAAAAACTATGTATCATGGTTTTTAACATGAGCACTTCCAAATCTTAGCAGCAGCAGCCTCACTGCCTGCGCTTGCGGTCTCCACAGGCACGCGGCGTTCGTCCCGCGGCTGACACTAAGCGGTCACCAACAGGAAGACGAAAATGGTGACGTATCTGAAAGAAGTGCTTTTGAAGGCTTTAGGAAAACAATTTGCATATTGGAAAGAAATTTGGGCGCATATTGGATAGGTGCAATTTTCAGATTGAAAATCAGCACGGACAAGCCTTCAAAACACTGCGAAGTGGTGCTGGAATGTGGTGGTCGATCTAGAACACTTAAGGTAGCATCTCCATTTTCGTGTTGCGGGGATTTATAATTTGGCCAGAGGGCATCTAGCTCTCCACAGTCAATATTGGGTCATCTACTGATCAAAACGGGCCTTTGTAGCCCAAATTGGCCGCAGCAGTCGATAATAGGCACTCTACCGGCCAGAATGAAGGACCCCAATGGCTAGAATAAAAGGAACTTCAGTCCATAATGGGCCCTCTACCTGAGTCGGCCTCTCTGCAGGTCAGGACGGTATCTGACAGACTCATACCGGTTTTTGGTCAGAACAGAGTCATATAGTCATGGTTCTTTGCCAGAACAGAGACTCATACTGGTTTTTGCTCAGAACAGACCCATACTGGATTTTGGTCAGAACAGACTCATACTGATTTTTGGTCAGAACAGACTCATACTGGTTTTTGGTCAGAATGGATCCCGAACAGTTCAGACTAGCCCTCGAAAGCTCAGAATGAATTTTGCATGGCCTACATAATTTATTTATCGTTCAGAATCGGCTCTTAACATACCAGAATGGTTCCCCCACAGGCACTCCAAGTCGGGGGGGGGGAGGGCGCCCCCCCCCCGAGCTTTTAATTTGAGGGCCCCACTGCCCCTCGCCCGTCCCCGCGTCCTTGAACGAAAAACAAGGAGCGCACCGCTCAGTAAAGCAATCAAAACATAGGACCCATCAGTCAACACGACCTCTTCGTTGGCATTCCCTGCCCTAAAATGACACAAATGACATGGTAAATTATGTGAGGAGGTCCTCCAACTTCTGACGTTGTCTCCTCCCGCCGTCCACCGTTTCGCTGTTCCAGCTGTTGGCGTTGCTGACCGTCCTGCAACCGCCGGAAGCCGGCGGTGACACGGTTTTGTCCTCTGACCTTGTCTCCGTGTTGCAGCTGCTGGCGTTGCTGACCGTCCTGCAGCCGCCAGCAACCGGCGGTGATACGGTCTCGCCGGCGGGGCAGGGTCCACCTCCTGGCTACGGCACCCCGAAGCCGTTCACCTCGCACAAGCCACCAACCGTCTTTATCGGACTCGACGAGGGCGAGGTCGCCAGCGGGCAGGTCGTCCATCACGGTGGAGGTGCTGTCAGTGACGGCAGGAGGATCGTCGGCAGCGACGAAGCGAATGCCGTGAGAGATGGCGTGTTCGATCACAACGGAAGCGGTTTCAGTGAGAGCGTAAGGGTCTCAGGACACGGCGGGAGCGGTCTCAGCGAGAGCGTAGGGGTCTCGGGACACGGCGAGAGCGGTCTCAGCGAGAGCGTAAGGATCTCGGGACACGGCGGGAGCGGTCTCAGCGGGAGATTAAAGATCTCGGGACACGGCGGCAGCGGTCTCAGCGAGAGAGTAAGGATCTCGGGACACGGCGGGAGCGGTCTCAGTGAGAGCGTAAGGATCTCAGGACACGGCGGGAGAGACGTCAGCGTTAGAGACGTCGGCGTAGAGCATGAAGGCGTCCGTGTTGGCAGCAGCCATGGAGGATTCGCCACCGGGCACCGCGGCTCGTCAGATTTGCCTCGGGGTCAAGCAGGTCAAGAGGCGGACCTGAGAAGCCACAGGGGTCATCAGATGATGGGAAAAGGTCACGAAAAACACTTCAGAGTTCAGACCGTAGGTCATGGGCCTCGGCTGGTCACCACTGTGACGTCACCCTCCGAGCTGGAGGATGGCACACCGCATCAAAACGTCCCGAAGGAAGAGCACAACTCATACAGCGACGCAGGAACCGATGGCGCCCCACACGTTTCGCGTGACATTCTTACGCACCAACGTAGCCCACGTCCCGGCGTGAGCGTGCATGATCAGCACGGTTCGCGTGTCACGCCCGCGTGGTCTGGCGTGACAGGTCAGCGTGACGAGGGCGCCGGGGCGTCGGTTGCCGGCGCCGGCTTCAAGAGCAGCAGCGACACGTTCAAGCTCCGTCCTTCCGAAGCCCCGTCACCAAGCGCCAAGACACATGACATGCACGAGGACACCGCCCATACCCCTGGGCACGCGAAGACCGCCACTTTATACACTGCCGTCCGCCACGTCCAGCCCTTTCCGCCGACTACGGCCCGCCCAACGCCGTGTGCCGTACCGGCCGCCGCCGACGCCCGGCTACAGCACCGCCGCGGCCTACCCGGGCAGCGTCGGCAGCGCCGGCTACGGCGCCAACTACGGCCGCATACGTGGGCATCGCAGGCCGCGGCGTACCTGTACAGCCGTCTGTGCGGGGAGGCGCCACCGCCGAGGCGCCCCGGTACGGCGGCGCGGCGCGGCGCGGCGCCGCCAGGCCCGGCGCGGTGTCGGCCACACGGGCGTGCGCTACGCCAGCGGCGCGCCGGCGCGCCCCGTCTACAGCAGCGCGGTGTACAACGGCGCCGCACGGGCGGTGTACAGCGGAGCCGCGAACGGGTACAGGGCGCCGGGTCGGCCGACGCCGCAGTACTACGGCGACTACCGCTTGCCCGGGGTCTACAACGCGTTCCCGGGCGCCGCCCTCCGGACGCGCCAACCTCGTCGGGGTCACGTGACCGCGGTCGGGCGCCGCCGTTCCGGCCGTCAGCGACGATCGGCACGCCGTTCGGCTATCGTCTCCCGACGGGGGATCCCAGGCCGAGTACGGCACGCCCAAACCGGCCAGAAGGACCGCACGCCCGCTGAGCTTGTGTCCGCCGGGCGAAGATGCGTCCGCTTCTGCGCTGTTGATCAGCTGGCGCCACGTTGTTGCTTTGGTTACTGCGGTTGTTGCCGTTTGATTGTGTTGTAACTTACCGGAGGATTACTTTGCCAGCGCGGGTGGAGACTTGCGATAGGTTCTGCCATCTACCGGATGTTCACGCAGGTGATATACAATGACATAACGGAAGTGAGGCGTGACGTTGGTGATAACCGCTTCTGTCTTACTTACGCTGGTCTCGACGCTACACATGATGCCCAAAATTGGAAGCCGCCCTTCACTGTCTCTTTCAGGCCTGCGGGAGACCGCCCGTAACGCGTCCGCCATTTGTTTCGTCACTGGCACCCTTCTCGTCGCAGGCATTTCCGTATACCAGACTACCAACTATTCCCATCACCTCCAAAATCGATATGAAATAGGAACCCTTTGATGTTAACAGTATCAAGAGAAAGGTGCAACCCATTCTGCAGCTATGACAAAAAAAGCCACGAGCGGGGAGTACCTCCACCTCCTTCCCTTTTAATGTAAGCGGTTGACAGGTGACAGGACAGTGGTAGGACAGTGGACAGGGATGTGACAGGACAGTGACAGAACAGTGGCAGGACAGTGACAGGACGTGACAGAACGTGACAAGACAGTAACAGGACGTGACAGGACATGACAGAACGTGGCAGGACATGACAGAACGTGAACAAGACAGTGACAGGACGTGACAGGACATGACAGATACGTGGCAGGACTGACGGCGGGACGCGAGACGCTGCTGTGTGCACCGTCCGAAGTCACTTCTCATTGCAGCTTTCGTGTATTCACGGCGTACATCCGCGTCTCATTACCGACACCAGTCCATGTAAAAATGGTATTTGGACGCACACGTATTGACGTCATAAATCCGCTGATAACGCGGAAAGAAGCGCTCACAGCGGGAGAGTCTGAATTACACTCACCCTGAAGCATCTTGTGATCAAATGCATCCTCATCTGACGCGAGCAGTCAGGTAGCTGCTCATAAGACCCAGGAAAGTGCTATGACCTCCACATTCTTATGCAGACAGTTGTCGACCTCGAACATACTGTGACGTGGGTTTTAAACAAAGTTGTCGCTCAAACAATGGTTATAGTGTCAGGTCCGACCACTGTATGTCCCCACAACATAACCAGCGTTCACTTGATAACGTCGTTTGCTGAGTGCCCCCTGGCATATTAACAGTATTCGACTGTCAGCATAAAGCCCTGAACTCTTAATACCGAGAAAAAAGGAGCTCAAGCCACTACTTCCTCATAGCACGCCTAACAAGGTCGACAGTGGTCTGCAAGCATAACATCTGGTGGTATTTTCAGACACTGCTGCCATCATAGTTGTATGCTATATACTAAGCAATAGGAACGTACGCAAGGGCATTGCACTGTAAGCAATGGACCTTACAAACGCTAGCCCCGGCGGCCGGTACAAACGCTGCATCAACTCCGCCAGCTGATGCATTCGTCCTGTCAAACAGACGCATTCGCAGTTCAACACCCCAACCCTGGAATGAGGCCATAAGGATAGTGCCCGCAGCCAACGAAAGCAGCGAACGAACATACCTGTTTTCGCCAGTGCCACAAAATTTGCGCTAATGGCAGATCTTCATAATATCAACGATGCGACTGCAGTAACCCTTATCGATTTTACTTAGCCTCAGAATAGTTAAGTGTGCATTTTGTTTTAAATGGCTGAATAAGCGAATCAACAATGGCAGGCGCCATGTGACCATAGCTGTTCACCTAGCGGGGATGACCACCACTCATTTCACACGGCCACCAGCTGATCAGCTGTCACTTCTCACTTCGCCATCCTGTTGATCATTCCTTTTCCCACACTGATCACTGTTCACACTCCCAGACCGCTCGCGTTGACTTTTCGAGACTTATCAGTGTTCGCTGTTCCATACAGATCACTGGTCACTGATTCACTGATCACCGTTCACTTTATCAGATAGCGAGATGCTCATTGCTCGTTTTCGAACCGTTGGAAGCCATTCTCCCGCGACCTTGCACCGATTCCGTGCCGCAGCTGATCTAGGCTGATGGCAGCGGGTGCCTGCAGCGCCGCCTGGCGCCAGCCGTCTGAGGTAGAAGTGTCGCGGACGCCGTCGTGGGCGTTGCCGATGACGCCATTTGCCGTGGTGCTCGTGGTTATTTCGAGGTGATCCTAGAATTATCGAGTGTAAGACGACAACAATATGAAACGCTCGTGAGTCATTCGAGTTAACGTTTTGTTTAAAGACAGGTTCACATCTTCTGACCAGACGGCAATACTGCTACAGCACAGCTAACTTCACAATGTGATGAGTGTTGCAACTGCAATTAAACACGACACACTCATTTATATTTTTATACCACACTTCCTTCCCACATCCTTAAACCAGCCGTCCAATCCCGCAGTTGGACATGTCACCCCCTCGATCATGTGATCCCCCGCTTCCTTTTCGTTCCCTCCCTGTCTCCAATGCGTCCGCTGCCCCTTCCCCCCTCCCCCCGTACCCCACCGCCCTCACCGTGCCGTTGTTCTCCGCCGCTGGCCTGCTCTCCCGCTGGTAGCTCGGGTTGGCGAAGCTCAGTCTGTCGACGGAGCCGGCGTTCTGCCGCTGCCGGCGCACCATCCAGACGCCGGCCAACACCAGCGCCACCAGCACCAGCAGCAGCAACACCAGCGCCACGGCCAGCACCGTGCCCGAGCCCAGCTCCGACCCTGCGGATGCGTGAGCTGATTCAACGGCAGGTGGAGCTCATGCAGACCAATGCAAGCCAGCCATTGTGATGCGATAAATGACGTCACGCCACCACTGCACGCGTCATGTGCGCACGTGCAGACGTTATCTGCACATGCGCGCGCGAATGAAACTCGCAATATCCGTGCCATGTTCTCTCCAAGCTGAGCGCCGTGTTAGACGGACCGCGCTCGGTGCGTACGAGGACACGTGGAGCCCTGCGTCTGCGTAGACTGGGCCGGCGTCTCTCTCCCCACCTCTTGCACATCGACCACTTCCTGCATCGAGCCCCAACCTCGGTCAAAGTCACCAGAGACACAGCAGAGAGATGTAGCGATACTTCCCGGGTCCCTTGGTCTCCCTGCGAAGCTAATGGAGCTTCAGTCATGGACGCTGTGCCTGTCGTGCTCTGGGTGCCGTACGGATCATATCCAGCGCGCGGCGCCACGGCGTCCCGCACCTCCGGGGCTAGGCGCCGACACTTCGTCCAGGCCGGCGGTGAAGTTCAGCATTCGGGACTGCAGACTGCTGCCGTAGTGGTTGGCCGCCTTCACCGTCACGTGGTACAAGCTGCCCGGCTGCAGGCCACTCAGCCGGTACCAGGTGCTCCTCGTGTCCACGTGACCGG